GGAGCCGGGGCCCTGTCTGCGCCTGAGAGGGTGGCTCTGGGGCACCTGGCCGGGCCGAGCCGGCTGCTGAGGTGTCTCCGACGCTCTCGCAGGTGGAAGTGGACGAGAACGGGAGGATCGTGGATGCCCGTTTCAAAACCTTCGGCTGTGGGTCGGCGATCGCGTCGAGTTCGCTGGCGACGGAGTGGGTCAAAGGGAAAACGGTAAGGGTCCCCGCCGGAGTCGGAGGTGACACCGCAGAAAGCCTTCAAAGCTTCAAACCTGCGTGCGTTCACTGTTGGGACCGCGTAGGACACGGTGGCCTAGGAATCCTAGTACTGACTTCGTGCAGTGCGGTGCAGTAGCTTGGAAAGCAGCGATTGTCAGCCCTGCTAGTGGTCTGACTTCTAGAGCAATAGTTGCCTTTTCCGAAAACCTCCATTAATCTGCAGGGAAGGGATCTTTAATCTGCTTTCTGTCAGAAAGCAAATGCCTGGGTTCTGAAAGAAAGTTTAGTTAAAGAGTGTCTTTAGATTATTTATGCTCTTTTTCTGCCAGACAAGAAATGCATTTTCTATATTGCAATAAAAGGTAAGTGAAGAACAATCCCCCCAGTGGCACTTCGTCTGTAACACTGGTACGCTTTGGTTCATTTCTGCCACTGCTCAGTGGGAGACATTCCTTAATTCCGACATCCTTCACTGCCCTGGCAGTTGAGATGTTCGTCCGTGTGGATTCTCTTGGTTCTGGGAGCATTAAAGCACTCTTACAGCAAATGCCTTTTTAGCCTGTGTTGTACCTCATGTGACCGGTGACTACACACTAACTGTGTTTCAGGTTGATGAAGCGCTGAAAATCAAGAACACGGATATCGCTAAAGAGCTTTGCCTTCCTCCAGTCAAACTGCACTGCTCTAGTAAGTGAAGGACCAAAAAGTGAAGGTTCAAGCACAAACTTGTATCTGAGAGGGAGAGTTCTGGGAATAGCGCAGGTGCTTCTGAACGTTGTTTTCCAAATAAAGTTTCTGCACACAGAACAGCTGAAGTTGTCCCGCAGGAGAAACTTGCTTATGTTCAGGTTTTGGGGTTAATTTAAGAGTTTTCAGATCTCTTTCATCTCTTGGACTCCATGGCTCAGCAGACTGTTAGGAAGGGTTCAGATTCTGCTGTTCTACTTCTAAGATGCCCACCGGTGCTACCTGCAGCGGTGGTCGCTGCTGGCTGCTCTTGTTTGTACGGCATCTTTTGTTCTAAATTACTTTTTGTTGTCTTTGAAATACTTGCCTTGCTTTATTTCTAGTGTTGGCTGAAGACGCAATCAAGGCTGCCTTGGCTGATTACAAGTTGAAGCAGGATCCAAACAAAGAAGAGTCAGAGAAGAAAGCAAACAATGCCTAAACCGACTGTAAAGCTTGTTCTCATTCCACTTAAATTTGCAGTGCAATTATTCTAGCTATTAGTAGGATCCTGCGCACTACTAAATGAAGCTGTAAGATACGCACAACTTACGCACAACGTGTCACTGTTCACGTGTGTACAGCCGCACGACTGGGATGTGGGTATTTTGGCAGCCTGTGTCCTGTCACGACCGTGTTTGAAACATTAGAGTGAAGAAGAAAGTTCAACTGCGGAGAACGCAGTGGCTTCTCTCGGGAGAGAAAAATCCTGCTGTTCTGGTACTGGAAGGGCTGCACTTTTTTTGGAAGATGTATAGTTTTGCCTAATATTTTACAGAATTTAGTGGGAAATGTTGCCTTAGTCTTAATGTTTATGTAAGAACTGCAGATCAGTCTGTGTATCAATGCAGTATACAAATGTGGGGCGGTGCATCCGCCCGCAAACTACAGCTGTGTCGGAGTTTCATTTCGCAATCTGTGTGGGAGTCCCTCCTCTCCGGGGTGCTGGGACGCTTCAGCAGGCGCGAGAGCGCTGACGCTGCGCTGCTGGGAGACCAGCAAGTAGCGGCAGGGTGCTGGGTGCCGCCGCTCCGGGAGGCGCAGACCCAGCACTAGCAGGGCTTCTGCTCGCATCCTGTCAAGACAAATGCTTGCTTATTTATTTTTTTTTTTTTTTAGAGGAACAGTCATAATTTTGGAGTGTCTTCTATAAGAATTTAACCTTTAGCCTGGCCAAATAGTCTGTTAAAAGAGAGGAAATACGCCCTTGGGTTTGAACCCGGGAGGGCAATAGCATAGCTGGGACGCAGAGCTGAGGGGAAGCTCCCGGGCAAGCCCGGCTCAGTCTCTGCCCTCGGGATGATGCCTCTGCGTCCGGTGGGGCGCTTTGCCGGCGGCGTGGGGAGAGTGCGGGCGATGTTCACCTCCCTGAGGATTCGCAGGCCTGGTGTGTGAGCTGGCTCGCCGGGGGCATGCCAGCAGTGGAAAGTAATTAAATGTTTTGTGGTGATCTGGCATGGCTTACCTGCTGTGCCGCCGGCCACCGTGCTCTCCTGTGCCTCTGGTGGTTGCTCTTTTCCAGGGGAGTATGTCCATAGATTTCCAAAACAAACAGAAAACACATTTGAAAACTTTGCCTGCTTTTAAGATTTTAAACCACCCAAGAAACCTTACTTGCCTCTTTTTTCATACCTCAAGTGTTTTAAAAACATTAAAAACCGCATTTAAAAATAAGTGGCTCATTCTGATGTATCTGTCCCTAACTTTTTTTTTTTTTTTAATGCAGAGCAGGCCACGTTGCTGCTGCTGCTGTGGTTTGTCACTCACAAGACCGCTCGTGCGGTACCTCAGCTCAGCACCACCCCATCGGCACAGCCCCGTCTCCTGCTGCCAGGAATGTGCATTGCTCTCTGGGAACAGTCCTGCGGTTTCCCAGTTAAAAAAAAAAAACATAAAATCAGGGAAACTTCAGACGCCCATGTTCACTTTGGGGCAGAATGGGCTCATTGTGCTCGGGGGAGCCCCATGACAAAAGGCGAGAGGGAGGTAAAAGCCAGCGTGCTCTTCCAAGGGGAAGGGTTGTCCCGATGCAGAGCTGTGGGGCCACATCCCTACCTGCTCCCCGGCTGGGACAGAATGTGGGGATACAGGGATGCGGGGACATGGGAACGCACAGATACAGGGGGATGGGGATGTGTTGCCTTCCAGGCGGAAAAGCCTCTTTTTCCCGTCCTGGATTGCCGGCTGTCCCTGTGCCGAGGCGTGCGGCAGCGCCATGGCCCCCCCACCCTCGGCTGCGGGGCACAAGATAAAAGTTTCCCAGAAATGGTGTGTTGGCGCGCGGATGTTGTGAACGATAAGCGCATCCCCCGGCTCCTGGCGTGGCACCCACACAGTTAACCTGCACCCCAAAGCATGACCAAGCTGGCTGCAACTGCTGGGCGCTGG